CAAGATTTGTTATAACCAAGGTGGAGGAAGAGATATAGCATTTATGGGATTTGTGACAATATTTCAACTGTGCAGTGTTTTGGGATTTAAAAGGGAAAGACTGCTTGGAGCATGCAGAGATCTGGTATAGCACCTATCAGCTTAAAACAGCTGCGGGTTTCTTTCTACATCTGCAACACAACCCCAGGAAGCACACATCTGATTTAAGGAGTTGCCAACAGGTGCTACAAATGTTGCCATACACACTCCAAAGAACTTATCTTTGAATCTGAAGCATTGCACAGCTCTACAGAACGATGCAAATGTCAAATCGTAAGGAATTTAAAATTTATGATGATAAGATGCAGAATGCCTATCTTCCAGACAGAGGTGCTTTGTGCAAATAATGATTAATAATGAATAATATTTAGATATCTTGCCGATTCCCATACACCTTGTTTAATTCTGTCCCTACTGTGGAGAGGCAACCTATTTAGTTCTTCTTGGAACTTCATGTGTCTCATTCATTACTACTTGCTTTGCTTGCTCAAAGCCTGGGGACATTAAGAATAATGGTGAGAGCCCATAAGAGNCTTATTTCTTTTATTCTTAGATTTAAATTAGCTTTACATTTTTTATAGGCAGGCTCTTTTAAAACGGATAAAAATTCCTCACGAGCTGGAAACACTTTCTCTTCCATTTCCTCCTGTTTTGGAGCCATCCCTAGTTCGTCCACCTGGGGGCTGAGCTTTTAACGTCAGCTAAGAGACCTTCTCCTGCATCAATCAGGGACTTTACAATGTCCCTGTGATCAGCAGAACATAGTCTTCCTGTTTACCATCTCTACGGGATGGTTTAGGTCCGATTGGACCACCCAGCAATAAAAGTATTGGCGGCGATCTTGGAGGATCGAGATCGGGCGACCATTTCATAGTGATGTAGGCTCCTCCTCCATCCTGTATTCTTGATACTCATTTTGTATTCTATAAAATATTTAGAATATTTGAGAAAAATTGTTCCTACAGCAAAGAATTCAAACATTAATAAGTTCCAAATTCCATTGTTAAAACATCCAGTATTTTTTGTTGTACTTGTTTCAGTATTTCTCTTTAGTTGCAAGTTTGCTTTTATTGTACATTGTACTTGCCTAGTTCTTACAGCAAAATTTAGCAATCCATGATGCAAGGAGGGTTTTGTTTTTCAGCCAGCTTTATCACAGACCCAGACTCTGGTTAGGGCCAAGATGACTAGCCCAAGATCATCCAGCTGGCTTCTGTGCCTAAAGGAGAACTAGAACCAAGTGCCCATATTTAATCACTACATAATATTGGTTCTTATTTAGGCTCTTTTGTATTAACAGTATACAGGTAGTCCTCGAGTTATGATAAATGGGACCAACAATAACTGCTAAGCAAGGCATATTATGCCTGGGTTTTTTTTGCAATGGTTAAGCAAATCATTGCAGTTAATTGAATCTGTCGTTAAGCAAATCAGGTTTCCACACATTAATTTTGTTTGTTGGAAGCCGCCTGGAAAGCAAATGGTGATTACATGACCATGGGACAGTGCAACCATCATAAATACATGGATGATTGCCAAGTGCATAATTTTTGATCATGTTACTGTGAGGACGCTGCAATAGTCTTTAAGTGCAAGATCCAGTTCTAGTCACTTTTCAGTGTCTTTGCAACTTTGAACAGTTGCTAAATGAATGGTTGCAAGTTGAAGGCTACCTATTCAATAGTCTTCTAGCATAATTTCTGAAAAACGTTGGAATAAGAAAAGTATACATGCCCATGTGTGTGTGTGTGCGCGCGCGTGCATGGATGCGTATATACATACTTACAAAGATGCCATTATATTCAAAGAATTCCCAGGAACAGTAAGCAGAGGACTAACATATCCACAGATTGAATAGTGGCAAAAGATCTGTTTTTAAAACTGGGATAATATATACAAGACAAAATAGGATTTCACTCTCAATTAGAAGATTTTATTTCCTGAATTCTATCCCAATGTGCTGACAGCTTTACCAGCAAATAGAGCATAAAAAACCATACATGGTTAGATGAATTATGAACACACACACACACTTTTAAGTCATAACCCCCCCCGCCGCCGCCGCCACCACACTGCCCGCTAAAGAACATATGTGGGCAGGCACCTGAAAAAGAGGAAACAGGGAAATAACAAAGGCTTGACAGTGCATCTATGATCCAGTAAAACATTAGCAATACTTTCTGATTTAAATGTAATAGAAGAGGAAGAGCATGAATGATTTTGGAAAGGAAGGGTACAAGGAAATGTCAGAGGTAAATGGATAACAAAAAGCCAAAAGGGATTAGAACCTGAACAAGCAAATGAGAGAGAAGGCAAAAGTATAAATATAAAAAGAAATTGGCAATAAGGAAAAATGAGAGGTTTTGGAACAGGAAAAAAGGTTCCAAGATGCAACTAATGGATTCTATATGGAGCTGACTTGTTTAATGCAAACAACATTTAACTGGTGCTTATATCAATGCTTTCAATGAAGAGATGCTCTGAACACATACTCCATCTTACTATGGCACCCTCTGCATTTTTGTGCAAACGGCTGGACCAAGGAAAACCAAACTAATTATAACTAAACTCACAGCTGCTAATGCATTCTAAGTTCACTTTTCTGTGGGCTGAAATGCATGTTATTTTTGTGTGTGTGTTATTTCCTTGGATATGCTGCTGAAATACCCAAACCTTTGAGGATACTTTGGTTCAAAGCTTAGCTGACTTTACAAAGCTTAAATTCACTTCATTCAGTTTTAAGTTCACTGTGATTTCATCAAGAAACATACAAAAACTCTAATTGAAAAAAAACATTATAAATTAACAATAGGGCAATCTTTTGACTACCAAACCTTCAGGCTGCTGTCAAACAAAAGCCAGACTATTTCATTTTAATATAAAAAACTGCATCTGTTAACCTACAACACATGAGAAAGCTACAGAACTCCTTCAACTAACAGTTTACTTCTCACTAAATGAGAGGTTCAACATGATCCATTTAGGAAATGGTTTATGGTAGGATTGTGCAAAGTATTTTATTGCACTGAAACTAAAAAGGGTTTTGTTTTCTTCACAATCTAATTCAAAGTAAGGAATGCATTTCACTTTAGTTTCAAAATGAACATAGGAAGAGCTGTGTTCACATACTATGCCCCGAGTAGCTTACAAGAACATAGGCAACACTAACATTGAAAGAAATAAGGGTTAAAATATTTTTAGGTGTTTCAAAAAGAGAAGTCTGCAAATATAATATCTAAAAGCTAAAATGCAACTATCAGTTTATACTATAAATATTTCTACTATTTATCTTCAAAAAATATTGTAGACAGAAGTCCTCCAAAATTGACTATCAACAATACCATAAAATAAAAACACATAGAAAAGCCAGCACTGATCAATTTAACCCATATATTAAAAATCAATAGTACAGTTAATATCAGAACAGCTTAATAAAACCCACTTAAGGAAAAGACTAGAAAGAACTAATACAGTATTTAGGACCTTGGACATATGAAGTTTCTATAGTAACTCCTTGTCCCCTTGTGAGGACAAGACACTCTTTTGGTCAGCTAAGCAAATATGGACAAGTAACAACAGCCAGAGTTATTGAACTTAATAAGCAGGTTAGTTGACACGAATAAAAGCAATCCTTGATAGTGATTGTGTCAGAAACAATTGGACAGCTGTACTTATGACAACTGAAATCTCCTGATGGTCTTCATCGTGGCCATATGTAGCCTGAACTGCAGTATATGAGCCCTCTTTATAATATGAATAGGTAATGTCCATCCTTACATCTGGGACATTTGCCAACATCTTTTTTGGAGACTAAAACATTCCTGGATGAATATTTTCTCTTTAGAAAAACGTGGAACTCAGGACAACACAATTCAACAAAATGAGGGTAATGGTGGGTTGTTGTTTTTTTCATTTTATAAAGTGGGGTCATTCAACCAGGTCACCTAATATGCAAAGGATGCCCAAAAAGATACAGCTGCTACTTATCTCTGTCTGGCCAAATAAAAGAGACAACCACTAGCTCCTAATTTTTCTTGACATGAATGCGTGCCTTTATGTAGCCTTTTCTTTTGGAAATGGACAATATACAACAATATTGAAGCTTAGTTTTAAAAGAAATCCAATTTTGAATAAAAATTTGCATGTGAGGGTGTCGCAGATACAATCTTAAAACTGTAAGTGGAATTTTATAATCATTGGAGGATTTAATGTGGATTGGAAGATAGCTTTTCTGCAGCATATAGATGTACTAAGTACATTTAACATGTACTTAGGAGAGCAAGGAAAGAATTGTTCCAGAGAGGACTAGTGAATCTCTCTCTCTCTCTCTCTCTCTCTCCCTCTCCCTCCCTCCCTCCCTCTCTCTCTCTCTCTCTCTCTCCCCCCCCCCCCCCCCCCCTCTCTCTCTCTCTCTCTCTCTCTCTCTCTCTCTCTCAGAAACAGAATTATTGCATTTTTTCTTATTTTCTAGCTAGAATAATAAAAGAAGAAAATGAAGATGCACTTTCCTAGTCCCATTTCAGAATTTTTGAAGGGTAAGAATTCTTTTATAGCTTTGTACATGAAGTATCATCTTCTGCGGCACTTTATTTATTTTGAGGAGAACCCCTTTTAACTTACCATGGTAGGATGTGGCTATTTAAGAGGTCGCTCCTCTAATGAATTTGAATGGGAGGGAAACCCCACCACTTTATCTTCAAGCCTTTCTCTTTTCACAATCCACTGACTTGAGAAAGCAGCAAGGTAGGCAAGGCTGTAGGAGGACGGTTTTTCCCCGTTTCAGCATTTTGTGCCCATCAGATCAATAGCCAGAGGCTGCCTCCTCCGGCGCGAAGTAGGACCTGCCTGTCAGAAGCAGCCTGAGCTCTCTCACCCCTCCTCCCTCCCTCCCTCCCCAATAGCTGGGCGTTTGGGCTTTTTTTTCCCCTACCGCTTGTCACACGAACAAGCCGCTCACTCACCGCCTGTGATCTGTGCAGGGCCAAAGCACAGCGCCAATTGGAACCACAAGACCACCAGGGAGAGTTTAGACTGGCAACGCTGAAACAGCGGTGGAGGCGGCGGCGGCAGCGGCTGCTCTAGGAAGGGATCCCGGCTGTTCGGGTTCATTCCATGATACATCTTTCATCCGCAAAGGGCATCCGGATTGAAACGGTCTGCAAACAGAGCAGGCAATCTGCTTTAGCGCGGGGAGAAGGAGGGGGCGGTTTCCTCCGCGCAACTCCCCCCCCCCGTTCCGATCGAAACGGGCGGGGGGGACACTTTTCTTGGGCTTCTTGTCCGTAAATGGAACCGAAGCCATCCCCCAGCCCAGTTACCCCCACTCGGCTCTCCTGCGCTCCCTGCTGGCGGGATGGGAGCACTGCGGTGCAAAAAGAAGGGAGGGGGGAACCCGGTCTCCTAAAACAATTCGTCCCCCGCTTTTCTTGTCTTCGGAGATGTGACGGATCCACCTCGGGAAAACGCAATCCTTTTTTCCCCCTCTCCCGGTGCAGGGATGGAAGAAAAAAAAAGATCCCGGCGCTAATGGACACGCCGGACCTGTCTCCACCACGTCCCCCTGGCTGGCCCTTGGGTGGACGACAACACGACACAGTTTTTCTCCCAACTGAACCCCGCCCCCTCCCACCTCCAGTTCCTCCGAAGATACGCTTGGTCATTTGCAAAAGAGCACCTCCGAGTGCTCTTTTGCAAGGCGATATTTAAAATAAAATTAAGGACCCCGGGATGGCGGTGGAAGCAACACTGTAAAGTTATTTCCCCTCACGTCGCACCTTCTTTAGTTCCCCCCCCCCAAGCCCCTGCTTCGCGACGAGTCCCAGGATTCGCCTTTTTTTCACCTTCCCTCCCCGCCCCCACCGGATTTTACAGGGAATCCTTTAGGCTTCAGAGTCCTTACCTAGAGGGCTGCCTGCCTGCATGGAGAATCCGTCTTTCCCCCAGCCGGGCGCACCGCCCGCCTCCGCCGCACTGCCCTCGGCTGCTTTAGCGGAGGAGGACTGAGAGACACTCACGGCGCGCGCCACCGCTCGCGCTCATCCCTACCTGGCTGCAGGGGTGGGCGGGGCGAAGAGCCAAAGGCCCGCGAGGCTCCGGTGTCGGCTGCAGCAGCTGCTGCCAATGAGAAGGCGGAGCGTGCACCTGCTCTGTGCGCGAGCCGCTTTCCACGCTCCTTCCCGGGAGGCCCGGGTCTCTCCGCCAGTCTGGCGGGGGGGGGGGGGGGCGGGCAGAGCGCAGTAGACGCCCCGTGTTTTCCCGGTGATAAATGAGCCACGGCGACGACAGCGGTAACACCAGCAACATAAAAAAGAAAAAAAATCTTCCTTACCTCAAAGCATGGACGTTTGAATTAGAACTACAATCTCTGATTAATAATAATAGATATGAAATGAAGCTTGGATGAAGCATGTAACAGTGATACCCATTGTCATCGGGGCACTTGGCACCATGTCCAAGAATTTTACAAGATACAT